ATTACTAGCGGGTCTGGATGTCATGAACTGGATTGTTTTTTCAAATCAATCCTTTGTTAGACTGAAAGTTGGGAAGGTAGATCCTGGAGTTCCCACAGACCAAACTTTCACCATTAATAAAGATGCCATCACTTGGCCCAGCTGGTTTAACCAGGTAAGATTCAAAATCAAGGCAGTTTTGAAAGCTGCTGTTTTTTCACCAGCCATAAAGTCCTTTATCACATGCAAGTAATAATAAGAATAATTCCAGTCAGATAAGGCTCTGCGTGTTACATCAAGTTTTCCTGTCTTTAGGAATGTATAATTTTAAAACCGTACCTTAAAACTGTATATTTATTTTATTTACGGTCTTTTAGACTAAAAATGTGATTTCTACAGCACTAACCATGATGTCATACTGTTTCTGTCTAAGAAGAACACATCATTAGTCAGGACATGGCACAACTATATAGATGGCAAAGTCTGCCAATAGTTCTCCTTTAAGCAGGTGGGATTTTAACATCTACTGTCATCCAGTGTTGACCAACAAATAAACAATGCATTTCCTAAATGGAAGAAGCTTTCTAAAATCCTATGCAAAATATTGATTCTTTCAATAAAGAAAAATAGTAGCCTCTATTTAGGAGCATGTAGTTGAGCCCATTCATATGTGAATTGCCATTGGTTTTTCTCTTTCCTTGATTAGTCTCAGCCTCTTTCAGTATGTAGTGAGAGTTGCCCTCCTGGTTCCAGCAAGAAAGTGAAGGAAGGGGAACCCTTTTGCTGCTACGACTGCGTCCCGTGCCCAGCTGGGAAGATTTCAGAGAAGGAGGGTAAGAAATGTGCTGCTTGGAGTTAGCAAGGAAAATGGTGGCACTCTAGAGCAATGTGGAAGGGCCATTTGTAAGCAGGGTATTTTCCTTTTAAAAAGCTAAAAGTGCTGAAGGAAGTCAAAATATGAATACTAAAGCCTGCAGTTTGGCCAATCCTATTATATCCCAAATATAAAAACTTTCCAACTTGGGTCTGTGTTCACCGCACAAATATCTAGCAACGTATTGGTGAAATGTACAGTGCTTTATGGAAAGGTTCCTAAGATGAAGACGATGTTGTCTGTTCATGTTTACAGATAGTAAAGAATGCTACACTTGCAAAGATGGAGGCTATCCAAACACCAATCAGGATTCCTGCAATCTTAAGACTGTCGTCTTTTTGTCTTATGAAGAACTTCTGGGGATCAGTTTAGCCTCCTTTGCTCTTTTCTTTTCTTTGCTATCAGCCTTTGTGCTTGGAATCTTTGTGAAGAAACACAAAACTCCCATTGTGGTAGCAAATAACCGAGACCTCACCTATGTTCTCCTCACCTCTCTCCTGCTCTGCTTCCTTTCGGCACTCCTCTTCATTGGCCGTCCCAAGACGGTGATCTGTCTCCTCCGACAAGCTGCTTTTGGCATCTCCTTCTCCGTGGCTGTTTCTTCAGTGTTGGCAAAAACGGTCACTGTGGTTCTGGCTTTCCTGGCCACCAAGCCAGGATCCAGGGTGAGAATGTTTGTGGGAAAGAGACTCTCCAACTCCCTGGTCATTTCCTGCTCTCTTCTTCAAACAGCCATTTGTATGTCATGGCTGGCAACCTCTCCCCCATTCCCAGAGTTTGACATGCACTCAGTGGTTGAAGAAATTGTTCTGCAGTGTAATCAGGGATCTGAGACCATGTTCTATTGTGTCCTCAGTTATATGGGCTTCTTGGCTGTTATTAGTTTCATAGTTGCTTTCTTGGCCAGGAAGTTACCTGACACTTTCAATGAAGCCAAGTTCATCACGTTCAGCATGTTGGTCTTCTGCAGCGTGTGGCTCTCCTTCGTTCCAACCTATCTGAGCACTAAAGGGAAATACACGGTGGCAGTAGAGATATTTTCCATTTTAGCCTCTAGTGCTGGTCTGTTGGCCTGCATTTTTTTCCCCAAATGTTATATTATTTTGTTCAAGCCCAATCTTAACCATAGGGAACACCTAATGAATAGAAAACAGGAATGAGTTTAAGAGGGAGTGCCCTTTGTTGTAATTTATGAAGTATTAATTGTGTGTTGTTAATGTAATAATAAAATGTTCATATGTGTTTTTGCTTTCCGGTGTGGATGCTGATTTCAATCATCTTCCTCGCAGCAATGTGTTTTTCTCCAAAATATGAAACGGTGATATAATGTAATCTGAAATCATCCATCCCTGAGACTTTATAGCTGATGGTGGAGTTCTGCTTGACCTCTTGATCTCCTTCACTCTTACTAGTAACTTTCTACTTTTCATATTTGAGATCAAGAGGAGGAAACGGTCCCAGTGTTTCAAATATGCAGTCATTAATGGATCAATTCAGATAGTGGGCAGAGTCCAGCAAAACCTGAAAAATTCAAACTCCAAAACAGCCATTCAGATCATAAAGTTTTCCTTCCCACTCTTTCTCTCTCTCTCCTCTGCACGTTTAAAAGAGAAAAGGGGAGAACCCCTTTTTTTATTTCATATCCCTTATTCTATAGGTCCTGACCTACAGCTGGGAGGTTTTTGGTTTCATAGTACAGGAAAACAGGCTTATATTAATTAA